CACTTGTTTAAAATCACAGCATCCTGCGTTTCATTTACAATCCTTCACATAAATTTATTTTTGGGATACTGTATCTTCAGAAAGAACCAATGAGCAGAAGCCGAGAGAGTCACATAACAAGGCGTGGAAGTATTGAGAGGCTAGTGTGTGTTTGGTCTTCACATGGGAGTTCTTCAAAATAGTATTATTTGATTCCTTTTCTAAGTCAGCTTCTTTAAGAAATAATTTAACACCAGATAAAGTGCAGAATGTCACACAATAGACTGTTTATAAAAGATGGACATAGCCATTGTGACCATACCCAGTGGTTTTATATCCTCCTGTAGGCTGTATGCACTCTTGGTTACACCCGTATGCACTCTTGGTTACACCCGTAATTATGAGAAAACAATTCTGAACTTCTATGAGTCAAAGTGACAAAATAAACTGACTCAACCCACAGTACTTTTGATGAATCCTTAGAAAATATAATATTTTTTGTATACAGTTATACAGTGTTTAACAAATTTATTAAACCACCAGAGAAAAAGTCATAAAAACAAGAAAATTCAAAATTCAAAAATCTATGCAGTGATCATTTTAAAAAAAGGGTTCCCCCTTTAGAAACCCGAGCAGTGCACCTCAAACACACCCAGATCCCAGAAAGTCACCACACTTTGGATTTCTTGGTGATGCCAGTAGAGCCATGGTCTACAGGGTGTTGCTTTTTATTGATGATTGTTTATGTTTGAGTGCAGTGATACTGAATCCGGATTCTCAGTAGAAACAATCTGCCCTTTAATACCTACCACACAAAAGCAGTGTGCTGATGTGACTAGTGATGGGCAAACGAAATGGCTCTTAGAGCCGGATCTTTGAAGTGAACGATGCGAGCCGACTCCTTATTGGGAGCCGTGGGGGTTTTTTTTTTTCTTTCTCCTGCCCTCTCTTTCACTTCTTTTCGATTTACGCTGCAAGTCACCCTTGTGTTTGCGCTGAGCAGAGACGCCAAACAGAGCCTTGCGTTTGCGCCTCTCCCCCCTCTGCTCAGCGCTGAGCTGAGGGGGCGGGGACGGTAGTTACACGCGCCAACAGCAGTAGCACACAACAAGAGCAGGAGGGAGAGGGAAAGAAAGAAAGCCGGGAGCAACAACAAGAGACAACGCCGTCACATTGGAAAGGTACAGTAAAGAAAATGAGTGACACCAAGAAGTCTGGAACCATTTCAATCTTATTGACAAAACAAAGGCAGAGTGTAGAGTCTACAAGAAAAGGATATCATATAGAGCCGGCTCCACAGACAACATGCACAGGCACCTAAGAACTGTCCACCCATCAGTGCAATGGAAAGATAAAACGCAGTCAGTTGAGTGTGATATTAATATTTCTAAATGCCAACCTTTCCCCTAATTAAAGATCTGGGCGTTCTTTTTCCCCCCTTTTTTTCCATATTTTAATTTATATTTTACTGTGTTGTGGTTTGCAGTGTTTTGTGTTGTTTCACTTTAAATTTGTTTAAAAGGAAAAAGCTGAAAATTTAAGTAGTTAAAAGTTGAAATGTATGAAATGTAAATAGTTGTTTTTTGTATTTTATAATTTATTTATTACATTTTATGTGGAGTGAATAAATAAAAGTATATTTACAGTGGCCCCTAGAGACAAAGCACGTACAAACTCCAAAACACAATGGAAGTGCTCCAGGATGCTAGGGGCCGTGTTAAGCTTTTATATATATATATATATATATATGATTGTTTGTGTAGTAATAAAAAAACAATGGACATATGCATTCGATTAGTGTAATTTAAGTGATCTAGGAAGCTCTGTTTTGGAAGTTCAGTTAACGCTAGAAATGTGTTTTGGAGTTTTTACGTTCTTTGGAATTTCTAAGAGCTTTGGAGTTTGTACGTGTTTCATCTCTAGGGGTCCCCATAAATATTTATATATAAACATACATAAAGAAAACCATGTTTTTTTACATTACTAATTCCTTTTGTGCATAATTTTATATTGTTGTTGATAATTAATTAATTAAAGCAACAAAACAACCTGAAGAGCCGGTTGGGAGCCGAAAGAGCCAGCTCTTTTTAGTGAGCCGAGCCAAAAGAGCCAGTTCTCTAAAAAGAGCTGGAAATCCCATCACTAGTTGTGACATGATGGAAACACGCTCAGTGGGAAAATGCTTGTTTGTCTCTCCAGCTGGAAAGCCCTACTGATACTCCCACTCTTACTGTTGAAAATATGACAGACATGTTTGGACTTGTAAAACAACAAGGACATTTAAACAGTTGCAGATTCTTTTTGTCAGCATTTAAATAATTACCTATTCTCTATATCTCCTTCTACAAATGTTTCCTGCTCCCACAGGCTCCGTCTTCTACATAGCTGGGGCTTTCTCCTTCGAACAGGCCGGACACACTTGTAAAAATCAGGGAGCTGAGATGGCATTGGTGGGCCAGCTTTATGCTGCCTGGCATTTCCATAACTTTGACCAGTGCGATGGCGGTTGGTTAAAAGATGGCAGCGTTCGGTTTCCCATCAGTAACCCCAGGGAACGCTGTGGAGGCATCCCAGAGGCAGGAGTACGGTCATTTGGATTCCCAGACAAGAACACACATGTTTACGGGGTCTATTGCTATAGTTAATCCAAGAGCACGAGCAAGAAACACAGAGAGACCTGAGAGACCACAATACATGTGTATACAGCTTTATATACCAAAAGATTGTCCCAAATAAGAAAGTTCATATCTGAGGCTACAGACACGTTGCACTATTGTTATTTTCAACATTATAGTAAAGTAACTATGAGTGGGTATAATAATGATTAAAAATAACTAAAAGAATGAAAGTTCATGGAAAGTTCAACAACTAGTAGATTGCAGGTAAATGTTATAAAATAATGTTTATATGCACAATCATCTATCACTATGCCTTTAATAATAACAGCTCTGCAAACACGTGATGTGTCTATTTAACATAACTCTTGCTTTTATATGAGCATACTCTAATGAGAATAAACACAAAGGATAAACTGATTTGTGTAAATTAATGATACATAATTTAATTTACTGAATAAAAAGATGACCTGTTATCAGTTTGGATGTTTTTGTATATTTCTTTCCTTACTTTCCAAAAATATCTCAGCTGCTGGAGCCTCTGTCCTTATTTATCATAGAGTGCCTTGATGTAGCCTAACTTTAAAATACTCATTTTTGACATGCATCTAGATGCCATCAGTCGTTGGAATATAAATGAAGAAAGGAGTAGCCTCTTTCTAAACTGCACAGATAAGGTCATGATGTCAAGATGTTAATGATTTAAAGTAACAGCAACCAGTTAAATTGCAGTTTACTGTTAAGTTTTCAGTTTCAGTTTAGCTACTAGGTTTCAATGTGGGTCCAAGGGTGCAAGGGAAAGCTTCCTGCCTCAACAGTGCATTGAAAGAAAATATTAAAGCAAGGAGGGACTTATTTAATGAGCCTTGCAATAGAAGTCAAAATAACAGGAATTACACATTTTTACACATATTTATGAAAAATATATCAAATAAAATAAAATATAGCAGTGATCTGCTTTCCTATTAAATGTCTAATGAGTACCGAGACAGCCTGGTAGCTTTATCCGTTTGTCTACATGAAATTTCTCTGATTTCAGTGTTGATACTTTCCCTCATCTAAAGAAATACCAAAATTAAAGGGAATCACTGATGTCCCCTTCAAGAAAATGTTAACATAGTTTCCACGTGGTGTTTAAATCAGTTAGACATGTTAGAAAACAAAACAAACTGCATCTGATTAAATCTGGAGCTAGTGTGACTCACACTTTAATGTGACCTTATCTACATGTAAACTGTATCTATACATTCTTAAGAGAAATAAAAAGAAATTTCCAAAGAAGTTCCCACCTCTTCCTCCTTCTCTTATCTCTGCCTTCAAGCAAGAAAACAACAACAGATGAACCAGTCCTGTGAAAACAGAAGAAAAGAAAGAGCCCAAACAAAAGGGTTACTCCAGGACAGTGGGACTGTCCTGGAGTAACCCTTTTGGCCCACAACATATAACCCACAACATAATCGTGTTTCACCTTTCACCTTTATTAAAGGTGGCCCACAACATATTACTCCATATTGTTTGGATCAATGGATAAATTTGTCATCAGTGTACGCTATGGTGGGCAATCCTATGGCTACAAATGAGAGAAACTCTTAAATATTGACACTGTTTTTGAGACAGTTTTTGAGACAGGCTAAAGACATTACTTTAGCAATAAATCACTTGACAACAATGCTTATCATGTTTGGGGGTTTTTTTGTTGCTTTTTTATGTTCACTGTAATTAATGTTGTGGTTAGTTTCGTTTGCTATAATAACTAATATTACATGGAAGATATTTCTCAGTTGCAAGATTCATCAAGTTCAAATATTGTATTGCAAAATATACAGTTGACTCACAGTCAAGTGAGTAGCCAAGTCTAAGCAAAGAATGTGTTGACAATTTAATCACATTGTTTAAAGACTAAAACTACACATTGCCTTGACTTACCATTTTTAAGTTTGCTTTTCAAGCCCACACATTTTTTTGTAACCTATAATGATCTTGCTACAGAGTATACCACATAATTTCCTTTTATCTGAGATGCACTGCACTTTGAGATCTACTACCCACTTTCAGTGAAAACAGAACACACATGAAATCCCTTTTTAATAAAGGTGAAAGGTGAGACAAGATTGTGTGTTTGGAAATCAGCAAAGTTATAGCAGCTTCAAGAGCAATTTATAAAAGTAAAAAAATGTGTCCCTTTAATGAGCAGTTACATGCTCTTTCTCCCAGTAATGAAGCACTGTGCTATATTAGAACAGAATAGCAGCACTTCCTCGAGTGCAGCTACTCTAAGACCTCATTTGAATTTCTTTGATCGTTAGATATGTGTGAGCGATCTTAGGTTTGACACATCAGGTGGAGTTTTCAATATTAAAATTCACAGAAAACCTTCACTCATAAAGAAAAACAAGGAATCCATCAGACTGTAAGAACAACAGATTTTAGTGAATGTCAGACCAGCTGATGCTGACAATCAATTCACACTTTGTTACATTTAACACCTATCAGAAACTCATCAAACTATCATGAACAGCAGTTTGTTACAAATATGTTAAAATTACAGTGTGTGGTAGCAGCAGTCAAATTCAAGAATTCAACATTGTCAACAGGTTGATTTCAATGTCTGCTATCGTCACCTAAAACACAACAAAGGCCAGCTACAGAACGGCTGATTGTGAAAGTAAGTTGCATCGGTAACAGTGTTACTAAGTCATAACTGGCTACAGTTACTGGTTCATAAATATTCCTTGATCTCTTAGCCGCCCATATCGTATTAACAGCTTGGGTCAAATTTTTTTTTTTACATCATCTACTTGGTACTTGGTTTCCATTTGATTTGGTGTATTTCAGGTATTACAGGCTAATCATCATACATAGATACGCAAGACCTAATTGTTTCCATAATCTACAATTATTGTTCTAATTATACCACAGATCTCTCATCTTCTAACTGATTCTAATTGATTTATATAAAAGTTGTCCACCTGCTTAAAAATTGTCCTTGTGTATTAAAAGTAAGGATGTATTTCTTCCATACATACTCCAGCAAAAAATTGGTTTTTTTTTTCTTTTTAAACAGAAACCCATTTATTCAAAAAAGGAGGTGGATGATTGTTGCACCAAAGTGTCGTCTACTGATCCAAAATGCGTGTTGGATCCTACTTTATCTTTTGATAAGGTTCATTGGAAAATTATTCTGGGAATCATATTTTTTCCATGCATGTCTAGATCGAACTGCATTTTTAAACAATATGAACGGATTTTCCTTGATTTCACAAACATTTTAGACACGCTTTGGTCAACACTGTAAAACACAAATTTAAATTAGAGCACTTTTCCAGAATTGTCCATTATTGCAGGAACTGTGACCTTGAGATGATGTTAAAATGAACAACTTGTTTTATTCAGGGCAATTTAATGCAGAAACTGGGCAGGACTGACTTATAAGAAACAAGAAAAGTGTGAAAACAGGAGAAGGAATGTTTGATTTTTGCTTTAAATAAGGCAGGATGGCTTTAAACATTCCAGTTAATGTCCCAGTAGAGCGGGGCTGCTTTCTCTGTGGCTGTACCCATGGCCTCCTCGCGCTGCTCAGCATGTACGTTAACTAGGTCCTCTTCTTCTGAATGAGCTAAATGTGTAAGGAAACAGGGAAAACAGAAATGATTGCAGAGATTAAAAGACTGATTTACCATATTTTTAGGGCTTTTTTCCATGTAAGCTGCTTTAGATTAGTTTGCTCTCTATAATCTTTGCATAAATGAGCTTCCTGTACTCAGCTGACACTCCTACAGCCTCATAATTAGGGATGGGTATCGAAAATGGGTTCCCACTGTTTCAATTCCTTGGAATTGTTTGCCATTTTTGCAAACGATTTCCTTATCGATTCCAGTCGCCCCGAATGACGTCACCACATTGCGGAGCGTCATTTACCTGGCAGGAAACATGGCGGCTCAAACGCTCAAAAGTTTGATTATACTTTACGAGAACGGATGACAACAGGGCAACTTGCAATACTTGTAAAGTAGATATTTCGTTTAAGGGAGGAAACACTACGAATATGCAAAAGCATTTGCTCACAAAACACGTGAT